TTAGGTTCGGTTCATTCGGTTTGGTTATTTTCAGTAGTAAAAATGCTGAGAAGATAGCGAAATTTTCCCTACATTTTGAATAATAATCATAATACCTATCATAATATTATACATTTATTGTGTTATTCATTGGCCAAAAGACAATAAAGTAATACAGTTCAAAGATAATAGTCATAATACTATAACCTAATACCTAACTGACAGTGGGTTGAATGTATTTCCCGGAACCGAACCGAGAACCGAAACGAAAAAGAAAAAAAACGAAAACCGAACCGAACGGGATGTACCGCGCAATACAGTTTAATTGCAGTTAATCGTTACACCCCTACTTGTGACTCACCATGGTAGCGAATGCATCGATGAGTGAAGGCAGGTATGTGTTAACGAGACCCTTACACATGGCTGCGACCTCGCTAGTAGGGATCATATCGCACACGTTGTCCAACGTGCCAATCAACTCGTTCTGCCGTGACGAAACGCAACGAAAAACAAACGCAACGAATAAAATAACAACAAGCATCGTATGCGGAATAAACTGCAAGCACACTTGCCGGACTTTTTGACGAACAATGACCGCGAACCACCCTGTAGTAGTTGCAACCATGTATGAGTTGAAGGGTGTAGATCTGCTGCACCAGCTTTTGCACGGTCTCAGAGCGACGCCACGACATTACACACGAATAGTTAGCCATGAACCAACAGTTTACAGGCGTAGAAATTAGTTAGAAAATTTACAGGCCAGCTGGGCCTGTAAGTAAGGGATTTTACAGGCCCGGCTGGCAAATTACAGGCCTTGACAGTTCCTTGACAGAAGTGAGCGATACTGCGGTAACTTTTCATCCTCGCTGGCCGGTGATGGTACCGGGGACAGTTTTGCATGCTGGGGTGGATTTTCTACGGGCCCGTCAGGCTTGCTAGTATTAGAAATGTCTGGCCCGAGCCCTAAAATACGGGCATCGGGCCCCTTATGATTTCGACCCATGGTTTAGAAGTTTGTTAGTCTCATCGAGTGACTATTTGAGCTTGTGTGACATCTCGGCTCTCTCACCTTGGTGTTGTTGTCGTGAGCTGCTAGCTGCAGCTCTGTCACCATCTGCGTGCACATGTCACACATCTCATCGTGAACTGCCGGCATTGGCTTCACGTCTGTCACGATCTGCAGACGACATAACATGCGAGGGTGGGTCAATCAGTAAGTAAGTAAGTAAAAATTTTTATTTAACGACGGTAAAACATGTTAGGTACAGACACAATAAAATGGCGCGGACCTATCTTCAACATGGCCGTCTCACAGCAATAGAACCGTTAAATATTAAATAAATACACAATAAGAGTTGACGTACTTAGACTAAAATTGTACGGGGTAAGTAGAGCACAATGGGCCCCATTGATAGGGCAAGACTTTCTTTAGACGAACTTTAAAAGAAGAAATGGTGGGGGTATCTGGAACGTCCGGAGGTAAATTATTCCACTCAGATGCCGCAGCACAACGAAAAGATTTTCTTAGCATTTCAGTGCGTGCACGGGGCGATCAGACGCACTCGCTCGTGCAGGGCTTGCACACAACAGTTTCCCCAGGAAGCTCTCCGGGACTTAAAAACGAGTCCAGCTTCCACGTTTCCTCCCCCTCTTCCTACTCCTCCTTCCTGGCTTCTTCACTATTCCACCCCTTCTGCTCCTGTTGTTGACTGGTGCCTAGCTTCCTTAAGCCTTGCGCAGACTTGCGACTTTTTCATGCAACTCGGCTGCGATTCTAGAATCGCAGTCGAAATTGCTGTGAAATCGCAATGTCTGCGGGAACATGCAACTGCAACTCGTAGCGATTCTGGTCGCT